AGTAGGCAATGACTGTAGACAAAGACAAATGTATAGTACAAAGCACAAAGCAGTCGACTCATTTTTGACACAAATGGAACCTCATAAAATGGAACCTCATAATAGTTAGCTGCTGGTAGAAATCTGTGTCCATATTCGCGTTTATTTGTTCTCAGTTGTCATCCCACAACCCAAACTCGCTCAAAATATGAATTAAACAGACGTAAAATAATCCATGTAAAAGCCATTACTAGTGAACCGACCGAAGCAGACTGCTGCAGAAGCCGATCGGCGGCACACACTGCAACAGTGTATTTTCAAATTTAACCGGGATTCCGGAAAACGGCGCGCTCACTAGTCATTGGGCAGATTCCTGAGTGATGGTCAGATTAACCAATCACGCTCAAAGCAACACTGCGAGACAGCAAATAGCGTTGCAACTATGAAAAAAATAAATAATAACTTGTTTTAAGTGAAAGATTACAAATGTGTCTATTTATTTTTATTTGTAGGCTGTTACATTTATTTAATTGTTCAAATGGTGATTTCACATTATGCTAGGGTGCATCTGTGCTATTCACTGTTCACCACCCGTCATTTCCCTCTGATTTTAGGGTTAAATTAGGTTTAGGGCCAGAGGGACTATGTTTTCAGACAGGATCAATAAAATATGCTGATTAAGGAACAGGTCTTACTTGGCAAAATCATTGCAGTCGTGTGTGTGTGTGTGTGTGTACCTGGTATTTATCACATGATGGGGACCAAATCTCCCCACAAGGATAGGTGCCCATGAGGAAACAAGCTTATAAATCATAAAGAATTAAGTTTTTTGAAAATCTAAAAATGCATAAAGTTTCCTGTGACGGGTAGGTTTAGGTGAAGGGTTGGTGTAGGGCGATAGAAAATACAGTTTGTACAGTATAAAAACCATTACGCCTATGGAATGTCCCCATAAAGCTGGATGTTGACATCACTGAATTCAATGATGAACTGTCTTTAACTGAAAAATTTGTGTTTACTATTGTCATTTTGCATTATTGACACTATTTTCCTAATTAATGCTGTTCAGTTGCTTTGACACAATCTGTATTGTTAAAAGCGCTATATAAATAAAGGTGACTTGACTTGACTTGACATTTAATTAATTGTTCAAATGGTGATTTCACATTATGCTAGGGTTAGCTGCATCTGTGATACATGTTCACCACCCATCATTTCCCTCTGATTGTAGGGTTAAATTAGGTTTAGGGCCAGAGGGACTATGTTTTCAGACAGGATCAATAAAATATGCTGATGCAGGAACAGGTCTTACTTGACAAAATCATGCCAGTCGTGTGTGTGTGCGTGTGTGTGTGTGTGTGTGTGCACCTGGTATTTATCACATGATGGGGACCAAATGTCCCCACAAAGATAGGTCCCCATGAGGAAACAAGCTTATAAATCATAAAGTTTTTTGAAAATCTAAAAATGCATAAAGTTTCCTGTGACGGGTAGGTTTAGGTGTAGGGTGTAGGGAGGGCGATAGAAAATACAGTTTGTACAGTATAAAAACCATTACGCCTATGGAATGTCCCCATAAAACATGGAAACACAACATGTGTGTGTGTGTGTGTGTGTGTGTGTGTGTGTGCGTGTTTGGCTACTTGTGCAGTTATATTGACATGACCAATAAGCACCCTTTTTGTATTTTAACAAATCCATGACCTTTCCTTTAGAAGCACCAGTTGTGCGTATTTGGCCCTTCAGTGTTACACAGCCCGTTGGTTAATCCTCTGTCCACCATAACACTTATTTAAAAATAATGCCATAATTGCATGCAAGTTACAAAATTTGTCAACATACTTTTATTTAATAGCATATATATTGCAAGATATATATCGCCTGCAGTAGGACTTTATAGCATTTGTGATATGAGACATTGTAAACAGAAAATGTTGAACTTCTCTCCATAGAAAGTGAAAGTCTTTTGTTTTTAGTTATTCAAAAGTAAAGACAATGTATAGGTTGGCCCTAAGAGCAATGTTCCATCATGAACATTCTTGTTCTTCCCACATAGCAAGCGATCTTGGCCCAAATGTGTTATCCTTCCTCTGTAGCTATAGTAACAATTTCAAAATTTGCCATTAAGATGTTTTACAACAAGTTTTACGGCAGCGATATCAAGCGCTCATTGGCTCTCGTCGGTTTCGTCATAGATTGCGACATGCCGTGTTTCCGGTGTTTTGAAACGAGAAACGCGCGCCTTTACGGAGTGAATCGGGATAGTATTTGCAGCGTTTAACAACTTAAATTATGCCCTGCTCCTCACACTATACTGTTATATTCCGCCAGAGAGGACTGCGACTGCAACTGCAACGCGTCGTCATTTGGACTACTGTGCTACTGCTTTTTGACATTTCTGCAATAAATTCTTGTGATTACACGTGTCTGTATGTTGCGTTTCTCTTATTGACTGTATACTTTATACACTCACTCTTTATTGGTTGATTTTTTCTTTATAAAAATAAAACATTTTTAATGCAATACATTTTTTATTGCACGGTTACATGATGTGGATTTTAAGGCAGAATGAGAAATACTGTAATTTGTCAATGATATAATCCTTAAAATAATGGTCAAGTTGTTAATTTACAGATATTGTTCGTAATTTTACATGAATTTGTATGTAATTTATGAAAACAGGAAAAATACTGTATAAATAATACAGTAAATTTCCCTATAAAAAACGAGAATTACTGTAATTTGTCATTAATAATATAATCCGTAAAATAAGTCAAGTTGTTAATTTACAGATATTGTTATTAATTTTACATAGTTTTAAACAATTTAAAATTACAGATAAATACTGTAATTTTTAGAGTTATTTTCTGTAAAATTAGGATTTTTTTTTTTTTTACAGTGCACTGCCATAGAAGAAACTTTTTGTCTAAATGGTTCCATAAATAACCTTTAACATCTGTAGAACCTTTCTGTTTCACAAAAGGTTCTTTGTGGCGAAAGAAGGCTCTTCAGATTATAAAAAGGTAAGAAAGACATGGTTCTTTAAAGAACCTTTAACTGAATGTTTTTTGTGAAACCAAAAATGGTTCTTCTATGGCATCGCTGTGAAGAACCTTTTAAGCACCTTTATTTTTGAGAGTGTATTAAGTAAACTGTACGAGTAAGAGTTGGTTTAATGGGTTTTTAGAATAAAAGTTATACCCTTTGGTCCCTGCTGACCATTAAACCCTGGGCGACCTTGAAATCCTGGCAAGCCTGTTATTCCTGGACTACCTGGAAAACCTATAACAAGGAAACAAAAGAAAACCTACAATGCAATTACTGCGGTATTATATGTATACAATGGGAGTGTCTAAGAACTGGTGTCGTTTGTCCCCCTTTGGACCACTGGGACCCCCTTTACATTGTGAGCAAACACAGAACCAAGACATTTGATCCATGGGTGGAGGCACTGGCGCCTCAAGGAGCAGGTTACAGTACGAAAGGTCTGGTTGTTGTCCAGTAGGCACTGTGCGAGATCCTTGAGTCGTGTTCCTGGACGGAGGTTTCGGTAGAATGGGATATCTGTCAGGCGGGATTGGAAACGTGGGTAAAAGGTGTCCTTTTAATGAGTCATCATATGGCATCAGTGGACCTCCTCTGGCCATGGGATTGGCTGCTTTTGCTATGGGATAATTATCATAGGCATACAGTATATAGGTATGTAGTTGTTATGTGCAGCAGAACCCTCAAAGTAGTCAGGAGGAATTGGACTATCAGGTGAGCCTGGGGATGGGGGTACTAGGAACCCCCTTCCCAGGAGGATCATCCCAGATTAGAGGGCTGATGAGACCAGTACTCCTGCAATTATTCTTATCATCTGAGAGGAAATAAAGGAGGATGGAAGAAACAGGAAATAAGATTTGAACACTAAGGAGGTATTGCTGTTGAGCAGTTCTGGAAAACATGTAAGCAATGCGAAAAACAATTTTTTTTAATAATAAATAATTTAAATAATAATGAGTAAATTATTGAGTTTAACCATCTTACATCTAAATAATGAGTTTGACCATCTTACAGAACAATTTTGCTGGTGATCCATTTGGATTTACAGACACCAAACCTTTAAAAATAAAAATAAGTTAATGGGAACAGATTATTTTTGCACTGTAAAATTAGTTACTGTAAAGCTGCTTGGTACAGTGTGTACATTGCATGCATGTGTGTCCCATTGTGATGCTAAGCCTTGTTTATGTCTCCAAAAATAGGTGTGTGCTGACAGCTTTTATTTCACTATCAATATCATATAGCTATGTTGTATGCAGATTATAGTAGGTATTCCTATGTTAGCAAAAGAGAGTGCAAGAACGTGTGACCCATTATGCAGCAGAAATTGAGATGAGTTTAAATGCTTTTGCTAATCAAAATGTAGGCTATGCGTATATTGAGGAAAAAAGATCAATGTGGGGCAATTTGTACTATTACCTATCAACATGTACATTTGAAGTGGATCTAAAAAGTTCATCAAAGTTGTCCTAAGACAAGAACGCATTTTGGTTTTAGGACAACTTGATGAAAGGTTTTGATCCACTTCAAATGATGACTACTGTATATATAATAGTTAAAATGGAATTCTATTTATTTTTTTAATGCCATAAGAACATGTTTCACCAATCTTAAGTAATTAAACCTCAAATGTAATTGTCTGGTCATTTAACTATAAGTTGTACAGTTCAGCACAAGTAGGTGTAAGTGGACAGACAGCAGATGAGAATGCAGGAGCATTCAGACTGTGGACTCTTAGTAAACAGAGTTGGTTAGTCATTAACACACTCTAAACACCACGTTCTCCATTTCTGTTCCTTTCTTATTTTTCAAAATGTAAGTAAACATTTTTAATAATTATTGAGGGTTAGTTAAGTAGTGCAACTGAAGTACTGTCTCACTGTGTTACCTAATGGATGATATTAATGTACTCGCAAAATTCCTGATATGATTGATCTCGGCAACTATTATTTGCTCAGTGAAAGGTTTGGAGTTCAGTTAACTTACTAAAGGCTGTTCATGCTGTGCTGTCCTGTTGGGTTAAAGACAAAGCAAAGACCAATTGATGTTAAGACATATTAAGGTTTTTGATTCATGTGTCTTCCAATATAGTTTTTTTCTGAGGACAAATCTGGCCTCTAACTACCCTGTTGAAATTTTGGAATACGGTAAGAATGATTTTTGTGTGTTAGTATTTTATACAGCGAACTTTCATGCTTTGAATGAAAGTAATTATCCATGTATCTCAAACCAAACCATTACTTTAAATTCTATGAAATCTTCAAATCTAAAAGATGCTCAATATTCAGGTATAATTCAAGATTTCTGTCTTGCTGTATTTACAGAGTCTGTTGCCATAATGAGGAGTCTCTTCTTCTGTATCTCGGTACTGGTTGTATTTTGGTCTGATAAGGCTCTCTGCAAGTCAGGTATGAGGTCAATAGCCCTGTAGAATTTATAAACAGTTGCAAAGTGTATGTATTATACTTGTCTGAATTTGTCTGAAGCTAGTGTTCTTTTGGAAATATAAAGATTCAGAGCATTTGTACCACATTAGAACATGTAGCTAATTTAGACTTATTATAGATTGTGTCTTATTAAATCAGTGCAATATGCATGTCACCATTAATGTTACTTTTGATTGATTGATTGATTGATTCATTGATTGATTCATTGATATTTGGCAGCATTAGTTTATCAAATAATGATAAACAACAGAAGCTGGCAAAACATTTTTGAAAGTACTCAAAAACAACAGCAGCGGTGGAGTGAATTTTCAGCAGACACAATTCATTCTTAATGAATTATCCCTTTAGTTTTTGTAGTACGCAATAGGCTTAAAAGCAATTTTGAAATCTACCCTGTGTGCATTGTTCTGCCTTATCAACCCTGTGTCTATTTTGGTCAGCATTTTCTAGCAGCCCAAAAGCACACATGCTCCTGCGTTCAAGAAGAGCCAACACTTTTATGGAGGAAATAAAGCCTCCATCGTTGGAGCGGGAGTGTAGGGAGGAACTGTGCGATTTTGAAGAAGCAAGGGAAATCTTTAATACAAGGGAAGCCACGGTTGGTCATGTCAGCTTTTTACTGTATTAGCATTTTTTTCCCCCTTAAATTATGATCCACTGATCTTTTTTTCTTGCAGTTGGAATTCTGGACGGCATATAAAGGTTAGTTATGTCTGTCTTTGAAGCCTGAGACACACTGCACAGTTTCCGGTTGTCCCAGAAAAAGATTGGCATCATGAAACAATCGTGGCGATTTCTGTGTTCGTGGCTTCTAATCGGGGGTCCTATGTCGTACAGTGAGAGAGGTTCAAAGACGGCTGTTGTTATGGTCTTGCGACCAAAGATAGCCTACAATAATTTTCTGACAGTGTCAGAAATTCAGCATTGTCATCGCACAGTGTGTTTGCTGCTACGACCCACGTTCGCTGACCAACCAATAAAAATGCGACATGAAATCAACGCGACATGGCGCTAAAACATAACACTGTTTATCTCAAGCTCTTATTCCTTCCTCTTTCGCCGCTTTCACTTTTTTCTGCACACATAAAAACTACAACTGCCAAAGTGTGATTCATCATACTATTTTTGTTTACCAATGGCACATTCTGATCATGTTTTATTATTCTATAGTAACCTTCTTCGTAGCGTACGAATCAATAGGTGTCATCAGCATACAGTCTGCATACATGTCGTTCCCAAGTTTATCAGATCCATTATCCCACAGTGTGATTTTTAATTATCTTATAGGATTGCTGAAATCATGCAGTGTGTAGAAGGCTTAAAGCATAATAAGCACTGGTACTCATTAGTTGTTTTGCACCCTCAGATGGAAACCAGTGCAACTCCAATCCATGTGTTCATGGGAAGTGTGTGGACCTGTTACAAGATTACTCCTGCACCTGCAACACTGGATTTGAAGGGAAACGCTGTGACCTGCGTGAGCCTCTTGTTTTTTATACAATTTAAATGTTCAAAAGTATGTGTTTTAAGTTGTTAAAATGCTATTTACATTTACATAATTTGGTCAGTGAAATATATATATATATATATATATATATATACACAGTATATATTATATCTTATATATATATATATATATATATAGTAGAATCTCAAATATTTCTTAGCATTATTATAAATGTATTATAATTGTTAGTATTATAATTAGGGCAGGCACAAAGCCCTATTGTTTTTTGAAGGACTTTTTTTAATCCCACTATCTGGGGCATTTTGGGCCCCTTAACGTGCTCAAAAACTTATGAAACTTTGCACATACATTGGAATCTGCGGTCATCAGGGACGGGCAGAAGGTCATGTGGGGGGTCCACCAGAGTGGGTCCATGTTACACCCTTTAATAAGGCCATTTTCAACAAGCTCTGTAGCACACACCGCTTCACCTACAGTCATCAAAATTCATATACATATGGATCTCATCAGTCTGAACCACTAACAGTCAGTGCTCTGCCCAACAGGAAATTGGCTTTGTGGAATGTTTGACAAATGCATGCTCTGGAATGTGATATACTCATCCTAGGGTTTTCATTCAATCCCTACCAAACTCAAAGACATTGAGGATGCAAAATTGTGAAGGGATTTTTGATATCTCGAACGGTTTGGCAGTGTCGAGGCGAAAAATGTATGGTGGAAAAGGGAAACAGGAAGTGTGTTATAACTTCAGCATACATTGTCTGATTTTGATCAGACTTCAGCTGTTTCTTCAATGTATGAGGCCGATCACATACACTAAAAAAATCCTGGGTTATTTTTTTAACCCAAATGCTGGGTTGAGCCTTTTGTGTCTCTTTTTGGGGTTATTTTTTCAGTGTTTGGGTAGTTTTTGTGTTACCCAGCTCCTGGGTCAAATGTAACAACCCAATGTTTGGGTAGTTTTAGTGTTACTCAAATCCAGGGTCAGACATAACCCAGCGGTTGAGTTATTTATCTCGGGGATTTTGCGTCTTCACTTCATGAGAGAGCAGTTCTAAGCGCCATCGAATTGATGCATTCTTCGGTAAAATACAGGTTTGTGTACATTTTATTTTATCTATAAAATCGTTACTGTGCTGTATATAGTTTCATTTTATGCAGAGCAACATACAGGCGCGCGGTGTGAATCACATTTAATGAGTGCGTGATGGAAAAGCCTGATGCTTTGAATACAATAAACGATTTTGTTCATAAAGATACAGAATATAATACTTTGTTTGGATGTTAAAACATGTCCTCAGCGCTGTTTATTGTTTGTTTATTGGCAGGTTATGGAGTCACAGCATGTTTCGGCTAGAGTGAAACGCTGGGCGGCGGTCCGTTAGCATTTCGCCGCCGAACACGACTCCAGCTCGGTCACGAGAACCAGCGCCGTTACGGTGGAAACAGAATAACAGAGACTGGTCGATTACATGTGAATTACTTCTGTTTAATGTTGATTTTTTTGTTCTAATGTTTGTTAAACGAGTTTAAATCTAGGCAATATGTATAGCCTATTAAAAACGATATAATCAACGCTGTAAATGACAAATAAAGGAAAATAAAGGAAGTTATCATGCAAACCAGTGGTTGTGTGGAGTATTTTAGAAAAGCGTAGATTATTTAAGTTAATCTGTAAACCTTACTTAATGTATGAAGTAAAAAATAAGCTAGTAATATAGTAAAAATGAATAAATCCATTAGCTGTGTTAAATCAACCCATTATGCTGGGTTAAATAAAGAACCCAATTTGCTGGGTAAATTTAACCCAAGATGGGTTCGGTCCAACCCAAATTGGGTTGTTTTTAACCCAGTGTTTTTTAGAGTGTAGATGTGACTATATTATTAAGTCAAAGTTATAGTGCCACCAACTGGCAGCAGGAAGTTTTTCGTTTTCAAAATTTGTTTATTTTTACCTGATTTGCTTCAAACTTCATCAAAATAATGTCATGACCCCGCAGATGGGAAACTGTCATGGGATTCTTGATATCTTAAATACTGTTGCCATGGCAATGCTTCAAACTTTAAAATTCTTCTTTATACTCCACCAAATTCTGTCATACGATTTACAACAAATTTTGGCAAGATGATGCTAAAACATGGAGGAACCTAAATTGCAAAGAGTTTTTGAATATCTCAAACTGTATTGCTATGGTGATTTATTAAAGAAACGGCAAAAAAATAAACAGGATTTGTCTTTTAGCCTATCTTTAAAGTGCATTGTTCAAACTCCTCAAAACTTTTTACATATGAAGAATAAGTCATTATGAGAAAACGTGCTTAGTTTCTTAAATTGCTGATGCTATGGGGCCTAACAGCAAATTATAAATTATCAGACATTTCAGCTGACAGATGAAGGCTGTAATACAAAGGTTGTACAAAAAGTTTTATATATCCTATTAATTTTGAAAACATATTTGTCAAGTTGCCAAACACAATTAAATATGTTGCTGTCCATTGAAAATTAAGAGACAATTTTATAGGTCTATTTTGTCAAATGTTTCTATAAAGACACCCTATTATGTTTATGTGCTAGCAGCTAGACTGTAACCATATAATTAATTCATAAGGACAGCACAGACTCATATAACCTCACACCAGCTCAAAAGCACCCACAGCCCAAAACTTTTTGATTTATTTACTTTTTCTAATATGTTGTCTTTTCTAACATGTTGACAGTTGTGCTATTAGATGGAAAGGAATAAATAATATAAAATGTAATACCATTGATTAACTACTAAATGGCTGTATAGCCCTATTTATAAATATTTAAAAAGGTTGTGGAATTTCTGTTTTTTAAGAACTGTGTTTCCAGACAATTATATGCAGTTATACATGTTGCATTTGGATATATATTTGTTTGTTTGTTCATTTATTTTTAAAGTTTAGATTTCTTGTTGTTTGGAATGTTACAAGCTTTATAAGATCTGTATCTTTCTCGCTATCTGATTTCATCCTCTTAGTTTAGTCTTTGGGCTCAACTCACTAGTAACAGTCTCAAATGTAACCTTTGATCCCTCCCTGTCCCTATTATGTGTGTGTGTGTGTGTGTGTGTGTGTGTGTGTGTGTGTGTCTGTGTGTGTGTGTGTGTCTGTTTCACACTCTTGGTATTCTAGAGTAACCCTTTCATTGAAAAGGGGGTTTCACTGAAAGAGGGTTAAATGCATGTTCCCACTCTGCACCGTTTTCTTGAAGCCACCTGGGTGGCATAGCCACCGGGGCTTAGGCTCGTCATCACTGCTTGCAGCTATATTTATTATTATTATTATTATTATTATTATTATTAAGTATTATAAGTCATAATGTTACCTTGTTAGACCTGATTGAAACCTAAACCTTTCTGCTGATGTTTTCTGAAATGTTTAAATATGAATTATCTAATTAAATATGCATTACTTATCATAAATTCCCAGCACGAATATCTGAATATTAGTTGAAGCTAATAAAACTGTTTCACTTTGCGTACATATTAAAAGTAAAATGTTTTCACAAAGGGGATTTTGGATACGTATTATCATAAATCCATTAATTCCACTGTTTTTAGGAATAAAATGTAATATAAATCAGGTGAATGAAAAATGAACCAAATAAAAAATCTAATTTACAGATAGCAATACAACTGGAAAGGTGTATGTAAGTGCTACTAATAAGATTTCTGGCTCAGTGTATGAGAAACAATCAGGCATAGCTAGATAGTGATAGATAGATAGATAGATAGATAGATAGATAGATAGATAGATAGATAGATAGATGAGTTATAATGTATTTAACCTCAAATGACTGGTGTTAATGAATCCCTTTGCCCTTCCTGCATTTTGTCTGCTTGGTCAGTGTTTTTAGGTAAGCTGTGTCACAGCTGATTTGGGGCATTTAATATTGGATGTCTTGAGTTACAGAGCAGTGGTGTGTGTTGTATAGAATGCCAGTTCTGCCATAATTAGAGATAAATAAATAAATAAATATACAAAGAAAAGTAAAAAAGCAAATATAAATAAATAAATATATAAATAAATATACAAAGAAAAGTAAAAAAGAAAAAATAAATAATTATTTATAATTGTATTTCCTTATTGTATTTTTTCTTTTATTTATTTATACATTTATTTATTTTCACATTTATGTATTTATTTACGTATTTCTTTATTTCCACATTTATTTATTTTTACATTTATTTATTTTCGCATTTATTTATTTCTACATTTCTTTGTCCGTAGGGTAATGAGGAGGGCGTGTTTTACCTCAGGAATAGCAATCGAGCCAGAGTAGGCGAGGGGTAAACTTTGAGGCCACAGTGACACCTTGTGGTGCTCAAACGAAGTACAAGAAGTGTACGCCTACATGACGCGCCTGTTGATAGTGTGGGATGTATGATTTAGATGGGCAATATGACCAAAATCTTAACATTTTAAGTGGGGGGTTGTTTCGGCTGGGAAGCGTGCAATCTGTGATCGCGTGCATTTGCTGAAGCTCCTGAAAGCATGCAATCGCTTTCTTAGGCGCGCTGTTTTTTAGGTTTCACTTTCAACGTATACAATGCATGTTTCCAAGATTCGGGATAGAAGGAGGCATCAGTTACTGTAGAAGATTTGTCCCCTCGCGCCACTTCCCGTAATGGGTTCTGTTGGTGTAGACACGGCTTTAGATACGGATTAATCGGCTGATTAATCACACGTTTTAGGCTGGAAATAGCTATCCAGAATTAGAACAAAAGGTGTCCATGGGAACGGAGCTAGTGAAACACACACGCCATGCACCGTAGCCTAAAACATGTTTAATATTTGCGACTGACAACAACGATTGTATGCGGCTATGCAGTGGAGATGCGTTCACTGTCAAATAGCCTATGATTCAGCATTCATTTGGAAATTGTCAAATATTTTTTCTTGATTACAAGAAAAAAAAACTATTTTTCTTGTTGTGATTTATTTCTTGTTTTTCATTTAATTCATTAGTTAACACTGCAAATTAAATGGTTTCGTTTTTTTCCGCAGTCGAAGA